AATGTGCCAAAACACACCCCGTCAACGAACCGAAGATCATGTACGAACGAACTAAATCCCTACGATGCAAATTTGTGATTCTCTTAAAAAACTGCATTGACGTTCGCGTCTTTACCACACCAACTCCTCCTCCATCGATGGACATTTTTAGCATCCATAGGACAATAGAGATGATATTCATACTTCATGACATTTATTAACGCAATTCTTCTGCATTTATTTTCTACTAAAATCACTACTACTACTACTTGTGGTACTAAAAAAATATCTGGTCTGCAGTCCTAAGAAGGTGGATCGTGAAGACCTATAATGCTATAAATCATGTGGAGATTATTATACATTTTGGTGACTACTTATGTTTTCCTTGAATGTTCGAGATTAAGCAAAAATTGTGATTTTATTGTTTGAATTATAGTTTTAAACTGATCTATATTTCTTTGCGTTCTTGTGATTGAGATTAGAGTATGATAAGCTTATAGGATTATCATTCACAAGGACACTTCGTTCCCATCTTGTTAACTTAATTGCACTTGATTCGAAGCTGCTTCTATGAATGAACTTTTGTTGAAGATAGCAAACTTTGGAACAATTCTTTTACAACTACAGCAAGAACCATTGGCCTTTCTGGTTCGCTTTCGTTAATAATGATGAAATTTATAATTTCTAGTACGATGTTTAATCAAAATCACAAATTCAGTAAAATGACTATTTCAACATCTTACACCTCTTTAGTTCCCAAACTATCTGCCTGTGAAGAAAACAATGCCACTAATTATGCTCTCCCAAAGCAACTTAACATCTCTGCAAAATATACATGCAATTGTAGACTAAATTGAATATAATTATAGTGAAAATTAATATGTACGCGAATGTCGCCTTCAATTTGCCTTGGGACACAACATGCAACTTAATATAAAAATTTATCTACCTAAGCCACATTTCGCTTACAAATATTATAAACCATATTAGAAGAGAGTTGTGAATATCGTGACACGCTTTAGTTAGGCAACCTCGAAAACTCATCTCATTTCACTTCATTTGCATATACGCAGTAACTTTCGTCGTGAATTGGATAGATTAAAAAACCATGGCACAAGAGAAGCAGGAAAGAAGGTCATCCACCTCAGCAAATAACCTCTTATAAATAAATGTGGAATGCATCTCAAATATGGTAATGCTAAACATTACCAGGTGTTGTAACACCTTAATGCTGTAGCCGCCAAGTAGCATAAGTGCGCGTTATTGGTTAGAAACGACAAATTAGTGCCACTTTGATGGCTTCGTGCTTTATACTATCTAACACGGTAGAATAACAAGTTTTGGTGTAAAAATAAAGGAAAGTAATAAGAAGTGGTAACACTGATGCGGATTTAGCTTATCATAAAAATGAAAAACGACTACTATGTCATTTGTTCAAGGTGACCAATGGTCCAGTATATCGTAGAGTAGGGATTCAAATTGAAGATCAGTGAATAGAAATAAAAAACACCAAAACCTCTATTATAATGTATCAAACCTGCGTCTTCATGCACAGAAATTCGCGGAATTGTAAACTAATTCGTACCTCTCTAAACAATTGTTTTAATAAAGCTACCAACAAATGCTGGCAAGAAGAGGAGTACGAAACTCGGATAATCAAGTAAAGATGGAGAGCGAAGTGAGAAGCAAAGGAGCTCTTACTTAATCTAACTCGATATTCGATTTTAATTTCCAACTCATTGGAGCTTTTCACTTTGTCATTCCTAAGTGTTAGAAGGGGAAAATTGCAGAAACTCGTCAACGACTTTCACGATGGGGTTCAATTACGACTTAAACATGAGATGAAATCGCATTTTATTTGTCAATCCAATCCGCTGAAGCCGTTCTTCTTGGCAGGTCTAAGATTCTATTGCAAAGAAAGTTATTTGCGTTCAATTGGCATAGTTCCAGCTTTAATTTTATGTTTTTTTTATTAATTAAATCTTTAATTAGTAGACTACTTTGTTATTATATTATATGGATTAATTGATATTCTTTAAGATTTCGTTTCTTTTACATGGGAGGGGTGCATATAGTATTCGTTTTTATACCTACAATAGACTACAAGACTTTAAAATGCATTGGAATGTGTTATATTTGTGTCAATTTTAATTTGCAATTCAGTAGTTACAGAATTGGATAAGTGGTAGTCTTAATCCTAAGGACATTTTCAATGCGGAAATTGAACAGGTGAATTTTGGTTAATGTGAACTGCAGAGATAGGAGTGAATCGCCTTTGAGGGGGTGGGATGGAGGTGGGGGTGGGGAGAGGGAGGTCAGGGACATGAAATAAGTCCATTATTAACCAAGGGGAGTGCAACCCGCCAATACAGATGCTTCACTATTACTGCAACCGATTTATGAGTGATGAAATAGTGTAAAATCGATCGGATTTTGGAGTGAGAATAACCAAATATTGTTGAAATATTGGTCTGAGCGTAGTGAGGTAGTCAAGCTGTAGCTGCACAACTACCACTTCTGTGGGTTAGAGTGGAGATGTTGGTTGCAATTTGGAATGCACTGGGGGTGTGTGTGTGGAGGAAAGAGGGAGTAGTAGGATGGACTAATTGCTTCATTGGTTACGTAGGCGATGAATTGGTGTCAATTAGCACTGTGTGAACTATGATTGTGGATATTGTCACTATTCCATTCCCACATTGCACTCATGAAGTAGAGTTGAGGAAGTGAAGCTGTCTAGTTGGTTGGTTGGTTTGTTGGTCAACTAGCTAATTCTGCCCAGAGCCCTCGTTCGCCGTCAGCCTCCTGGTCACCATCGCGGGTCTCTTGCCTGCTCCTGTTGGTAGGAGTGAATTGAGAAGGCGGTGTGAATGCAGGAGGCTGACGTTACCACCCAGGACCACGTGGAGGTGAGGGTTGGAGTTTCCTGGGTAGGGAGGCGCAGGCACTGCCCAGGTGAAGAAATTGGGCACGCACTTGAAGCACGCTCGTGCCTGCTCGTACCTCCACCCCCCACACACAGCAAGCACCCTTTTGTTGCTGTGGTCTTATAGCCTCTGCACTCCTATGACCATGATTCCCCACCCATGAGACCCACGCCATGCGTGTGGCCTAGCTTCGCCTATTCGAGGGCGCTTAGACTTAGAAGCCTCTATTTTCTTCTCTTTTAAGCTCATCCTAGTGGGTGTCCTTCGTACTACCAGAGTATAGGCTACAAAAAGTGTGCCTAGGAGTGGAAGATTCGTGGAGGAATGGGAATAATGGCGGCAGCAGGAAGAATGTATGCTATTTGAGAGTGAAGTTGCTTAGAGGAAGGGGCTAGAGGAGCAAAAGCATATAGCGAGAATATATCTCTAATAATGACTAGAAAACATTGAAATGGAGATGAGGTAAAGGGAGGGGTTGGGGGAGGGGGAGGGGGAAGGAGACTAGTTAATCACACAATCCTAATGCGTAAGCTATGGGGAAGATATAGGTGAGAATGAAATTGATAACTAGAAGAGGGTGGGCTAGTGGAATATCTGGTAAATGGTCAGGAAAAAGATGGCAAAATTAGGGTAAATATAAGTAAGACCTATGAGAATGTGTGAGTTACCTGAGGAGGAG